ATCGATATTCTCCCAAAGAGTCAAGATCTCGAGGGTTTGGAAGGTCGATATCGACGTTGTGAAAGGTCGATATCTGGACTGCTCAGATCTCAAGGTATGAAACATCGATATCGATGTTCGGGAACGTTTAGATCAAGAAATCTGAAAGTCTGATCTCGAGGTGGTTGGAAACGTGGATATATCGATGTTGAGGAACGTCGATATCGATGTTATAAAACGTTGATATCGATGTTCTCAACATCGAGATTCTTCCTATTCCACTCCGAAGTCCGTTTCTCATCCGTGACACGTCTGTGACCTTCCTTAGCTCGTCCGTATCGTCCACTTGGTCCAATTAAGCTCCAAAAAGACCGTTTTAGCTCATTTTCGTCCGATTATGCGAATATTCCAGAAATTTTATCAAAGAGAAAAGAAAATGGTATTTGTGTACAAAGTGTGACCTAAATGCGAGATTTGTACGGAAAAGAGGGGTGAAATGCAACTAAAATCATAGGAAAATAACGTCAAAAATCGATGTCATCACTGAGTTGGTCCGCCGGACCAGGATTTGGTCCGGGTCGGACCAACCCAGTCGACCGGACTAAAACGAGACAGACAGATTGGGAACGAGAACGGAGCCAAATGCAAGGTCGGTCCGGCATATCAGAAAGTTGGTCCGGCGGACCGACGAATGATAGACTTCGCAATTTGCTCTGTTGCAACTTTTGGGCGAGAATCTCGCCGGAAAATGGGGCCAATGCATGTCCGATCATCGTCCAACGCCTCAGGGACGCAGCAAGCTCGACTATGGGCCTAGGCTTGGCCTAGTAGCTCTCCCTCACGTGCAATTAACTCCCCTCAACCTCCAAACGTAGTCATTCTTCTGCAAAAAAAAAAACAAAGAAAGGAGCTCGGAGAGACCAAGAGGGACGTGCCTAGAAGTGCCTTGGAGCTTCTCACATCGTGTGGAGTCATAGGGAGCTCACACAAACTCGGACAAACTCACCCAAAACTCAAGAACAAGGTGAGTGGCTTGAGTTGGATTTGTGAGATCTTGTTTTCATTGTGTGATGGTGCAAATCAATGTTTCCTTGCATGTTTGAGATTTAGACCATATATAGGGATGTTAAATAATGATTTGGTAGCATTTGGGAGTGACCCGAATAGATTTGATGAGAAAAAGTCGGACCAAACTGTGAGAATGGTGAAGAAGATGAAGTCCCACTTCCGGACCAGACCCTGGTCAGCTCCGGACTGAAACTAAGACAAATGAGCACAAACTCAGCCGGACCAAAGAAGGAAAAGATGGACCGAGCGAGAACGAAGTCTGGTCCGGGCTGACCAGGTGTCGGTCCGCCGGACCAGATATCTTCGGAAGAGGAACACTCCGTCTGACCAAAGGGACAGACCAAAGAGAAAAGAGAGGAGCTGATCCGGGGCTGACCAAAGTTTAGTCTGTCGGACTAGACGTGTTCGAAGGAAGAATACTCTGTCGGACCGAAGGGACGGACCTAGGGGGAAAAGGGAAGGCTGGTTCGGGGCTGACCAAAAGCCAGTCCGCTGGACCGGACATGTGTTAAAGAAAAGACCGGCTGACTCAGGAAAACAGGGCGAACCAATGAGAAAGCATTCTGGTCCGGGGCTGACCGAAAATTGGTCCGCTGGACCAGACTCAGAAAAAAGCCGATCTGGGAAGAAGCGGAGGACCGAAGGGTTGGACCGGACCTGACCAGACTTGTTCAGCGGCAGACCAAACCCCCACCAAAGAACACGACTTCCACGATTGAAACCAACTGCTCCAGTTATCGCGAAGACGTTCTATGCCGCGGTGAGGAGTGTGATATATGTACGCGAGAGACTCGTTGTGTGATTATTTTGGGTAGTTTGCATGGTGTTAAACGGTAGCTCGGCAGGGGCCGAATACTATAAGACGCGTGATTGTACTAGAGATATGTGTATGCACGTTGTGTGCCATGTTTGTAGTTTTCTCGTGCGGCGCGAGTAAAGCGTGATTGTATTTGTATATAGTCGTGTGCGACGCGATGGCCAACGTCACGCGAGGTGACGGACGCGTGAGGCGCTCCTTGTTATGCTGACTTGACTAGGATTTATGGCTAAACCCTATGGTGGACTCCATACGGGTGTGATTGTATCTCCGTTGTGTCATGTACTTGACATCGGTGGTCACGAGATGTGACAAGCGCGTGAGGCATATGTAGTCACATGCGATACGACGGTCCACATCACGAGATGTGACGGACGTGTGAGGCGCTTCTAGTCATGCAGACTTGACTAGGGTTTATGGCTAAACCCTCTGGTGGGCTCCATACGTGTGTGATTGTGATTGATGTGACTATGATCATGTATTGTTTTATGTATGTGTTTTATGAGAATGTTGATTGTACCATTCTCTATGAGAACGGAGTTTCCAGATTCAACCCGGGCTACTCATTAAGCAAGTTGCCTTAGCCCTCGCGGTTTTATCTTTTTCAAATCACGAAGAGCGCGTGTAGCACACTCGGTGGCGACGACTTGAGAGAGGCAACATCATGTACAGGGTTTTGTATTTTGGACTACGGGACTTGTATTCCCGCCTTTTGTACAGCAGTACTACTATTCGGACATGTGTTGTTTTGCGATATTGATCGCGCGATATATTTCCGCTGTTTACTCTATTTGAAAAATGTTTTTGGATTTCGTATTTTCGTTGTTTTATTATTGTATATCATATTCATCCATGTGGCACAGCCTGTATATTGTATACGAGTTACGGGTGTCACAAACGTACCATCAAGAAAATTCTTCACAAGCCTCCATATTATCAACAATCTTCAACAGAATAGATTCACATATTCAAAATGTTGGTATCCTATCACATAACTAAGCAACAACAGGTAAGCCATCTTCAACCTGACATCTTTTTCATCTTTAGACAATTCCTCAAACTTTGTCATAACTTCTGTTTTCTGAATCTTCTCAAAGCTTTTTTCAGCAAAGTATTTTCGTAGAAATTGATCCCTCTCATTTCTTTCCAATTTTCAGGCATTCGAGAGTACTTCAGCCCATAAAGTGCATGTTCCCATAACGAGTATCTAATTGGAACTCCATTAATCACGAACCACAACTCATTATCTTTCTTCGTCTTCACCGATTTGTTGATGAGTGTCACCATTAAACTCATCTTTAGTGTCTGCTTTCTTTGGAATGTGGAATATATATTGAAATTATGATCGTTTGGTGAAATACTCTGTCTCCTCATCAGTCATATAGTTCTTTAGGAATTCCACTACATCTATGTGAAAACACTTTGAGGATACCTTCATCGATATCTTGTTCATATCATCAAATTCGTAATTGAATTCAGCTTTCGATATATCAACATTCTGCAATAAAACGAATTCATTCAGTTTGTATACAACTACGATTAATTATTTGCACTTTGTATCAGACACTTTACAATTTTATAATTACAATCAAACACTTTGTAATTTTTTAGTTACAATTATATACTTTGCAATTTTTTAGTTATAATCACACATCAATCGACATTAGATTTTGAACGAAAAATGGATTTGCGTTCTAAAGAAAAATAAATTATGCAGAATCCTCTCATGAACATTACGAACTTTTTTTCAACTATTATTCAACAAAATTTTTTAAAACATACAATCTTAATAAATCCTAAACAAATGCAATCAAGCACAATTCTTACATCTGTTTCAGGACTTCTTAATCTCTCAAGTTCTGCTCTCTTGCTCGATCTAGACGAAGACGCACCATTCGATTCAAAAGCACCGCCTCCATCAGAACCTACTTCACTTGACGACGATGATCTCTCCATTTTCTTCGTGTTTTTCTAGATTTCGATCGGTTTTCGTCGATTTTGTTTGATTTCGCGTTTGTGTTCGCGTTCTCTCCTTCACTCTTGTTTCCGATGTGGAGTCTGAATAAAAACTCTAGCATTCACTTTTAATTTAAAAATCCCCAATTTTTACTTTCCTCAAATATTCAACCTATGCACGTAACACACGAGTCATTAAGAGTATTATGCTCTTTTCAATTTTTAAAACGGTATTTTTGAATTTCTTAATTCCTTATATTTTTAGTGGTGCACGTTGAGAAATAGTGATACAGTGTCATTTGAGTAAAATGTCCTAATTGGACACCATTCAACATACCTTGTAATCTATCTAAACAAATTGAATCGACATAAAACTGAATTATGGTTTGTTTGAATTGTTATAGTTATATTTTTAAGGTGGTCATTTCGGTTCGGTTAAAAAAACCAAATCGATGTGTAAACGAATCAAATTCAAGATGAAGTTCTAAAGGGTATAAGTTTTCTAAAATTGAAAACACGACACGAACCGAATAAAACCAAAAAAAAATTTGAAAGCATTTTTTTTATTAAGCATCTTAACAAAACTAATTGAAACCCCTTTTAATCTATGGGTAAAACTCAATTATATATATACACACACAATCAGTTTGTGCCTAGTCGTAATCCTGGGAAATTTTGTCATTTTTTTTAGAAAAAATCATATATATATACTTCGATCTTTTAAAATGTGCCAAAAGATTTAAACTTTTAATTTGATATTATTGATACCACAAATATTAAATTATTTTATGATATATAAAGAATTTATGCGAACAAATTCTCGGAACGTTTTAAGGATAAATCGAACTGTCATAATATTCACAACAACTCATTGGAAAACTTTAATAATTCCTTCGATTTTTAATTCGATGTTGGAAATTGTCATCGATTTTATAAATTACGGTATCAATTTAGAATATTTTAACATTTAGGATATCAATTAGATAAATTAAAAGTCTAGATATTTATTTGATACATTTTAGAAAATTGAGACACTTTCCATTTTTTTTCAACTACCGGTTCCATTGTTCTTCAGCAGCCTCCTACCGGTTGTCAACAAAACCTAAAGAATCTCTCTTCTCTCTTCTTCTGCTTCGGCACAATAAACAAGTGAAAACCAAATTATCTGTACAAGATTTGGTGGCCGGCTTTAATATGTGATTATCTTACATTCACTATTGTGTGTATATCAATGGAGGAAACCCTCTGAATATATCAAAAGATCCGAGCAAGAAAATGAACGATCACCCGACACGAAAATGACAATCCCGATGATTACGAGCTCATGATCAAGGGTTGAATGAGCATAGTATGATTCTTGTCGCCCTTTATGATCCGAGGCAACGTTGTCGAAGTTCGATTGTCTTCAGGCGTAGGCGCCGAAGATGGCCCGACCTCTTCGATTTTACGAGCCTCCTCTCTTTCTAAATTCATCTCCACGTATCCCATCATTCGCCTCGGACCCGATTCACCGTATTTATTGCCTGAAAATGTGTAACAAAATCAATCTAGGAACAAAGATTGAAAAACATTTTGAATTCTGATTGGTGTATGAAAACCATCGAGATGTTCGTACGTACCACATTCCGTGTGGTTTGGATTCTTTGATATATATATGTATATATATGCTGATTAGTTCTGTATACATACATACATACATACATACATACATACATACATACATACATACATACATACATACATACATACATACATACATACATATTATACCTTGAGATAGTGGGGAATGTTTGAGAGAATCCGACCAGGCAACAAGCATGGGAGTGATAATGGTGAGAAGAGCCCAGAAGAAGAAGATCATCACATAAGCTCGACCTCTCATTTGCACGCGCACACACACAAAAAAAAAGCTTTTTTTTTTCTATTTCGATTTAGATTCTCAATTTCGGTCTTATAGCAGAGAAAGGCAAAAAAAAATTGAGGAACAAAAGAGACAACCTCTTACAACATAGATGACAACCTAGCCATGTTTGTAGAACATTGTGAATATATATATATGGGTCTTTTTTAATAAAAGTCAAGCATTCTATGATGAGATATTTGGGGTTTGTGGTGAATCATATTGGTGATAATAAAAAGAATGGATATTTGGGACAAGCCATTTGATTGGTTTAATTTATAAAATTTTCTAATTTATAATTATGCTCTAAATTATATTTTAGAAAAACCCTAATGGAGATTAATTAATTAGAAACTTGCTTCATTTAATGAAGATGGAAAAGGCCCGAAATTCTTGTTTAAGAATATCTGTATCCGTATATGTTCTGAATATTCAACATATAATATCCTCAAAGATAAAATTAATTAACTTATTTAAAATTTGGAAGTAGTTGATCTGACCATATCAACCCTCAATGTCCCTTAACTTCGTACTATTAGGTAGTGATATAGAGAATTACCTTGTTTGAAATTTTGATATTTTTCCTAAGTTTAATTTATTTTTAAAAATCGTTATATACTGAAACCCACAAATAAATATATTTTTTTTTAATAAACGGACATATGTCGAGTTCACGATCCCTTTTCTTTGTCTCATATATAACCATTGATAATAACCTTTTGAAATTTAAGTGACTTTTGTTTTGTATCATGAAGATTGGAGTTTGAAATCTCAACGAACATATGGATTTAAATTGGTTATATCCTTCATGATTTAAATTGACAATAACCGAAAAATTTTGGTACTGTTTTCACTGTTCAAAATTCTCGAACGGTATTTTTTTTAGAGAATCGAATTTTTCAGAATTGAACTTAATCGAATTTTTAAAAAAATCTTAAAAATTTAAAATCTCTTAAGAAAATCTATTTTTTTATAACCGAAATCGAAACCGAACCGAACTGAATATAATATATTAACTGATTGGTACACGAAAAAATCAAACCGAACAATTATCGAACCGAATACTGGAACACCCACCCTATTAGTTTCTTATTGATGTGGTTTGTGGTGATTTTGGGCATATTTCTCTCAAATTGTAACGGTAGGTGAAATCAATAATGGACAGAGACAGGACGAAGTCAAGTGTCTTGTTACGTGGTGTCCATCATGTAGTGTTATTTTATTACCCACCATATTCGTCTGACAACTATATATCTCATTACCCAGATATCAATTTCCAACTCTTTTTTTTCTTCTTTTTTTAATTCAAAAAATTATAGTTATATGAAATTTTATGTTGAATGAGCCAGTATGAAAATTTCATTTTGAAAAAGATACGTGTGCGGTTGAAGAGAATTTCACAATGCAGGAAATTTCATAGGCTTTGTATCTTACTTGCTGTCCAAAGGGAAAACCATCACTTTTTTTTTTTGGTAATCAGTGCATTGGATCGAGCCCTAAATTAATCTCGAGATCGAGAGTAAGCCATGTGATTCGAATAGGAGAAATAACTGATATATCCTCTCACTGCTACTTGTATTTCTGGTGATACCCTCAAAACAAAAAATAAAACAAAAAACACTCTTTAACATAGCAAAAGACATAAACACCCTCAAATATTTATAAAAAGATCAAAAACCCTTCTTTTTTCAATTTAAAAAATTCAAAATAAAAAAATAAAAGTAACAACTTTATTATCTCCTATCGTGACTCTACTCTCTCATACCTTTCACCATTTTTATTCTCTCTCTAAAAAAATCAGAGATTTTCATTGTTAATTCTCTATTTCCCTTCAGTTTTCTTTAAAAAATTTCGTTTCGACTTTAAATCTTCGACTAGATTTGATATTCGAAGAAGAAAAAATGACGATAACGAAGAACATGACTTCAAAATCATCTTTATTTTATTTCACCTTTATCATCTTCATTCGTTCTCTCTCTTATTTTCATCTTCCTCTTCAATTTCTCTTTCGTTCTCTCTCTCAAAATTGTCGAACTCTCCTCCTTCTCTCATAAATTTCGTTTACCCGTCAAAATCTTAGGTTACATCAAAGATTGAAAGAAAAAGTAATGACGAGAGAAAAGAACATGATTCAAGTTCATTTTTCTCATAATCTTCGAACGAGAATGAGAACTGTATGGTAATTAAATTTCGATTTCTTTTCAGATTTGTTTGATTTGAGATTTCTTTCAATTGAATTGAAGGTGGCTTCGAGATTTGACCGATAAAGTATTAGAGTTTTGGATATTTTTGAAATTTTCGAGATTTTGAAATAAAATGTTGGGTTTGTGGTTAAAATTGAGTGAAATTGGTGAGTTCCGGTCACAAAATTATTTAGGACAGTCATATAGGTCACAATACCATATGGATCGATGTTTGGATGTATGGATGACATGAGGATTCGAAAGACAAGGTCACACGGTCAGAGTCATAAAGCGGTTATGGAAGTCAGGACTAGATACATTATGGAGTCCAAGTTTCGGGAAAGAGCTTATGTCACACAGAATATGGATAACAGATATTGTAAGTTTATACGGTCACATGGTCATACGGTCACATGGTCACACGGTCACATGATCACACGGTCACATGGTTACATGGTCACATGGTCACATGGTACAATGTCACACGGTCACATGGTCACATGGTCACACGGTCACATAGTTACATGTCACACTGTCACAGTGTCACACGGTGATATTTGGATAATATTGCTGACATATGTTATTTTATTTTGTAGCACATGGAAGAGGCGATGTATAAACTATGAACCCGTATTATAAAGCATCACATGACCTATATAGGATGCAACTACTTGGTGTGGAATATCACGCTCATAGAGTTGATCAACGCATGAGGGAGACATGACAACTTTGGGCGATCTAGAATCACAGTTCAACGGAAGAAGAAAGCATGAACTTTTATTTCTCTAAATGCTTTGTTTATATTATTTTGAACCCTAACTATGATCTCTTTTTGTTTGTTTGGTAGTATCCTAAATTACGAATTTTTATTTTTGGTTTTTGTTTATTAAAAAACTGAACTTATTTATATTTTAGATAAAAACCCACCGAATACAAATCTATGCCGCTTTTCTGACGAATTCTTCGTGTGGATTCCATAACACAATTCGGTCACAATATATCATAATGGATCACAACTGGTCACATGGTTCGATCTATGAGATTTTTTCAGTTTAGTCATTGTGGATGCTTTCACATCTCTCATATGTCTACTTTTGTATTATTTTTAACATTCAAATATGGTTTATGTGATTTGTGATATTATTTTTTAACACAAATCTAAACTTTTTAGTGTGTTACAAAAAATTCTGGGTTGAAAATGTTGTAGGAAAAAATTTGGGGTAAAAAATTGGGAGAAAAAAATATAGGGTTAAAAAGGAAATTATATAGGGTTGAATATTCAAACTGGACTCCACGCTAAAAGCAAAAAATAGAAATAATCATTGTGGGCCCCACGAAACACAAAAATTTGGAGAAATTCTGACTAGTTCTTCGTGTATGTCCCACAATATATTTCGGTCACAATAGGTCACAATCGGTCACAATCGGTCACAAGCTTCAATCTATAACGTCACACATCTCTCATAAGCCTATTCTATATTGTTTCGAACATTAAAATATGATTTTTGCGATTTTTGTGTTCCAAAGTTCTTCTTCTAAATATATTCCTATATGTTTCATAGTGTTTTATGAGTATTTTTGACAAATTTGGTATATTTCTTCTACAAACCCCTTAAAATATTTTGAAATTCGCTCACACACACTATATATTTGATATATAGACTCTGATAAATCACCCCGAAGCTTAAAAATTAAATTTTGGTCTATATTTGTCAACACCTTTTCGGTCACGGGTCACAGTCGGTCACAATGGTCACACAGTGCAAAATTGCATTTCGATCACATGGTCACATGCCGGTCACAATGGGTCACAACAATGATTCATATAAGTTAACTTATTTAATATGTAACAGAGTCACATATATACAAAAATACATATAAATTATTGGATAACTAAGTTTACTAAAAATTAGTTTAACACATTATGATAGAAAGGTTTGAACACATTATTATACAAACATAATACGACATATTATTATATAAAGGTTTTTGAACATTGTTATACAAAGATTTTTTAACACATTATCATACAAATACAGTACAATATTATTATACAAATTTCGTCTCTTTCTTCACTCCAAATTAGGCGTTATCTCTGATGTTGCCGATGTTGATGTTCCCGCTGTATAATGGATTCTCTTTCGGCCTTCACCAGAACCAGGACACCGATTTTGTTAGGCCTCCCACATTCCCGTTTCTCTTCTACTCTAGGAGGCAAAACTACAAGATTTGCAAAATCTGGATCATCGATGTTCCATTCACAACAATCGGGGGCTCGTCCATCATAGCTGTGGAAAACACAATTTAAAAACGAAGATCAATTCGACCATTCTGAACAATGTGATCATGTGACCTTGTGACCGTGTGACCTCGTGATCATATGACCATGTGTCCATGTGAAGTGATAATGTGACTATGTGACTTTGTAATCATTTTGACACATGTGACTCGGTATCCTAATGACCCAAAAAAGCAGGTGACCAAGTGATCGTGTGACCGTGTGGGCATATTGAAAAAAACATGTGACACGTCTGACTGTTGTGCACATTGTGACCTTTGTGACCCGTTTGCAGTTCGTACATTGTAACCTTTGTGATCCATATACTCGTGCTAACTATCGTGACAAGTAATCTGTGTGACACGTGATACACAGTGATGCTCTAAAAATTCCGAAAATGCATATACGACACATATATATGACTATAACATCTTACAAACGACAAAACAACGGAAACAACAACAATTAGAAGAAAATCACCGCAAAAACCACCAATGTGTATAGAAAAACCGGTATTTTGACTGTAGCTTACATATTTCTTATTGTCTCGCTGATTTCGCCTTGATTTCGCCCAATTTCGACGGAATTTTAAGACAAAATAGCAAGATGAAGAGGAGAGAGAAAACATAGAAAAGAGAGAGAGCTTGGTCGAGACTA